TGGGGGAGGGACTTAGGAGAACCAATGGAACGGCTTTCACGTGGGGGTGAATTAGTAGGGGGAGGAGTCACGCCGARCAGGTGACTGAGGATTTTGAGTTGTTCTTCKYTGGTGTAAGTGGGCGGTCCGTGGACGACGTCATCAGACCATTCACGTGGTGCGGTGATGATCTGGGCGTGGGCTTGGCTTTGCGAGAGCTTTTGCCGGATGTTGATTTCGGAGTCCACGTGATTGCGGGCCTTGCGAAGAACGTCCCACGTGGTGTCGTTATAATTGTCTTTGGGAACGGTACAGGTAAAGGTACACCACGGATGCTGTTGGTTGCAAATGAAGGTAACGTACCGCGCGTGAAACGTAGAGGTTTCTACGGTACAGTGTTCGCTATCGCGGTCGGTGAAGTAATAGGTGCAGGGTTTACGGCAAAGGCAGTGAGGCAGCCGAGGATTGCGACGTCCGCTCATGTTGAAGTGGAAGCGAGATGTGAGTCTTTGACGAGGGTGGAGCATGACTTGAGTCCGTAAAGTAATAGGCACCAGGTCTTCCGTGAAGGCGAAGAGGCAGGACCGCCTGTTGGGTGGCGGGAGGACGTGGGACCCCTTTCTTTGGGAAGGTGAAGAGCAGGTTGGCTTGACGATGTTGACTCATGATGAAGTGGYGAAGTTGTGGCGTAGGTCGTGATGCAGGCGATGTATTATTTCGGTGGGGGTTAGACGTAGGGCTTCGTACACGAGACGTTCCCAACACGAGGCCATGCAATAGGTGGGGAGGTTGCAGGAGTCGTCTGCCAGGTCACGTGGGTGGACGTCAGAGCGAAGGATCGTGCTGACGAGGCTGCTGATGGCATAGAGTTGATTGCTTTCTTGACCTTGAAGGGGCGCGGAATGATGTTGAGGATGAAGGCGCCAATGACGGTAGAAGCTGCGCATGTGCAAGCGTTGGTTCTTCCGGCTGGACCAGTTCACCCAGGGGGCGGCATGGGTATCTTCGGGTAGGTCYTTGATGGTGTCCATGCAATCCAAGAGGAAGGTGAGGAGGATGAGGCGCATGCGCGGAGTGAGGYGAGCTTGCTTGATGTCCCACCAGCGGTCGGGCACGTCGTAGAGGTAGTCGAAGTGAGTTTGTCKGATGCGGTCGTCCACGTGCTGAGTTGTACGAGTTAGAGCCATGCTTTAGTTGCGATGCGAATCGAGGCGGGATTCGTGGTTAAGCTCGCCGATAAGTTCTAGGAGGGGAACGTCTTTCCTGTAAGCTTCAGTGGTGGAAGGATCGAGACGACTGAGGTCGAAGTCTGTATTGACCACGTTATGAGCCAAGGTGCGGTACTTGCTGAAGTGCAGCCAACGGCGGGCATCGGTAACGCGGCGCGCCTCGTAGAGGTCTTTGATCCATTGGTACTTGGGTTTGACGTATTGGTGTTCTGGGTAGGGGCAGGGGTGTTGGGCGTGCACGAGATCCAAGCAGTCGACGTAGAACTCCAGGAGCTTGAGACGCTCTTGTTCGTCGTGAGGAGAGGCGTCGTTGTCGTGGAGGGTCGGCAGGCACCAGGAGCGAACGCGCTTCTCGAGGAAGGCAAGAGCGCGGGTACGGGGTCGTGTTGCTGGCATGGTAGTTGGGTGGGTTAGTGATTTTTCTTTTTTTCCAAGCACATTTGTAGCGCCACGTCCATGCCGTAACGATGAACCAGGAGATCGAAGGCGGGAATGGACATGTAGTGTCCAACGGTCATGAGCTTGCTGAGTTCGGTACTTCCGTGGGAGATGATTCGTTTGAGATGACCTTTGTATTCTTGAACGTGGGCGTAACGTTGCATGACGTCGTAGTTATGAGACTTGTAATCGTCGGACAACCATTGGTGCTCTTCCTTGACCTTGGCGCGGGGATGAATGACGTCCAAGCAATCCAGGAGGTAGAGAATGAGCAGGAGCTGAGGCACGCGGTGACGGAGGTCTTGCGGAAAGCAGGCGCATTCTTGGACTTGATGGAAGTTGAGGCGATCGAGTGTGGAGGTGATGAGACGGGTGTGATAACTTTCGGTGGTTTCCATGAGGAGACTGATGCGCACTCGTAGCGTGTTAGGGTTTTTCTAKAGGCTTTCTAGACCTTTCTTGACGCCGAACCCCACCCCTGCTCCAACGGCGCCAAGACTGGCAGCTTTGGCGGCAGCAATGGCCGCGGGAACGAGCGCCAACAAGGGGAAGAGCCCGCCTTGCTGAGAGCGTCTCTTTCGTCTTCGTCT